GCGCGTTCGTTCCCCACCATAGACACCTGCGGTCCAGAGTTTTGCAAATATCTCAGCAACGTTGTGGTTGTATTTCGCTAGCATTATAATTTAAAAAATCTACGACACGGCTTTCATTTCACTTATAAAATGGCTAAAATTGTTTAATTTAGCAAAGGACTTCTTCATATTTGATAGTATGAGTTGACAGAAATCCAGAAAAAATTCTATGAGGTTTTGCATAGAAATCCACACGATTAGAACTTCTTCGTAACAAAAATGCTGAAATCCTCAATGTTTCGGCATGTTCACAACAATGTAATAACAAAATTATTATTACGAAGTATAATTAACTCGGAAAAAAGTTATCAGTTAGGGACGGCGACTTTGTTTACCGTTACAGTAATAATTTTCGTTGAATATTCGCAAGATGATTAATTAATTTTCTTTCAGGTGTGAGAAAAAAGCCACACTTTGAAGTAACAGCATTTGCAGAAGAGACCCTCGTGATGCAGCATAATGCTTTAATATAATTTAATAACTGAATAATCAGAAAGTGGCTCGTTGAAAGATACGTAGCGGAAGAAGAGGTGGGAGAAATGACTACGAACAATCAGCGGCTGCTGATTTATATTTATTTTTGCTTATGAACGGAATATCGGCAAATTAATGGTGGAAGTACTGCAACAAAGCTAATAAAGAAAAAGAACAAAAATAAGTAAAAATATAAGAAAAGAGATTTAAAGTTGGTGAGCTGTTAGAAATATCAGACATTCGATTGCCTGCCTAGATAAATTTCTTCTGATTTTCTCATTTTTAAGATGCTAGCTAACTATTGGATATCGAGACCCTTTGATCAATAAACGGTTATTTTAGTCAGACTAGGAATCTCAGCGATATGATTCCTATATATTCATGCGACATTGTCCTGCAAAGGTTATAATTGCGCAATTAGTAAAGAAATAAATAATTTTTGATGATTTCGACTAAAGCTTCAGCCCATCTGGGTTCAATGCCGATTTGTGCTCCCCAGATCAATCACACTAATGGGTGATTGCTAATGGCACTGATAAATAGAAAACTAGCTGACAGAAAGTGAAACGAAGGACCCGTATGGTGTGGTGGTGAACGCGTTGCTCCCCGGAAAGGACAATAGCGCGTTCGTTCCTCATTGTAGACACCAACGGTACGGAGTTTTGCGATTATCTCAACATCATTGTGGTCGTACCTCACATGATACTCTGACGCGAAAAAATTTGGTAGGCAGTAGATAAAAGCCTAACATAAATGATTTTTATTTTTCCTTCGTTTCTCTTTCCATGAACCCAAAGATTAAATCCATCGTTTTTTCTCTCAGCAATAATAATCCATAATCCAATGCCGAAGTTAATACAAAGTCGATCGTGAGACCTGAAGATTAAAATTTTCTGAACGAATTTCTTTCTCCAAAAACTTACATAAACACATGACATGTAGTGCACTAAGTAGAGAGACCCTTCCATACCGATGTGGTCACTGGTTCGATCTCGCGTCACACGGTAACCAAATCCATCTATCTGGGGCCGGCAAATTCATAGTAGAAACACCTGGGAGGACGGCAGTACTGATTTGATAGAAAGACAAGCCACCGAAACTGATTTTGTAGGCAAAGTGGGTAGTCAATCACCTCTGTGCTATGCAATGAGTAGAATGCATGATGGATATCTAAGAGATTGATCAACGTCGAAAGCTTTCTCCTTCTTTATCTCTCTTACGCGGCTTAAACTATCACGTTGTTAATAAAATTTTTCATCATTTTGCAACTCATGTTGTTTCGTTGACTAAATAAAACGTTTTATGGCTACCATAGAGAATTCTCACTACGATCCAGAAGTTGTTCCAGGTTTCGAAATATCGGCAAAACCTTAACACAATAGATACAAATCCATGTTGGTAACAGCGTCCTTCATCCGTCATTCTGTTAATTGGATTATCAGGAAACCTGGATAGGATTCCACCGCGATTCCAGCGTTGATGTTCTATTTTTGTCTTTCATTTTAGAGATCATCGTGCTTCGAATTCTAGTTTAAGGTTAGTTTTGTCGGTTATCTGCCTCAACATACGTCAGCCATATCTCATTTTGAGCGGTAGTTTTTCTTTATGAACTAGTCGGATCGAGTTTGTATCACATCGTCGTCGTCAGCACTCCTTTTTAAATGAAATACGGTCATTGTTTCGATTTACGTTTACGATCTTTCAAATATCTTCCGTTGCTTTTTTTAAGTAACGTGAACTAGTTCTTTTTCCTATATTCTCGTCTGTTCTTTGTTCTTAGATTTTAAACTTTAAACTCTCCAGTTAAAATGGTTGTAGAGATGACTAACAAGCGCCGATAGCATGTGTAACGAATGAAGAATTTCACTACGAACTGTAAAATATGTTGAAAAATTCTTCCTTGAATCAACATAGAACACCACCAAATACCGTATTTATCACAAAGAGACGACGTAGTTTATTTTCTGCCGTTTCCTTTAACGAGCCACTAAAATTATGACTAGATTTGGAACAATCATTCCAATAAACGGCTTAAAAAGTTCTGGATACAATGAGAATTTGAAAAAAAAAACAAAAAAGAATAAAATAAAAAATTGTGAAAAAATAAATGAAAAATTGATCAAAATTTTATTCTCTGCCTATTCTTTTTTTCATTGGAAGGTACGATATGAAATAAAACCATAAGGATGCTGAGATATTAGCAAAACTCGTAGACTCAGCTGAGGCTTGAACCCATGAGTAAAAACATGGCCTAAGCGAAAGACAAAGCGAGGGTCTTGGTTGGCGTGGTGAACACCACGTTAGCCTCTGGCAAGGGTTGTTTAGGTCGAGGCTTAACTGATGTTCCGAGTTTTGTTCATATCTCAGCATCTTAATAATTGAAAAATTACTCTGGAAATATTAAATCAATTACAGATAAAGGTTAGTTGAAACGGCACTGAACAATGACGCGCAGAAAAGGGCCGAAGCAATTTTTACAATAAAAAATGTTTTTACGGATTAAGCAAAGTTGGGGATTCAGCTGAGATCTATCGAAACAAAATTCTGCTTATTCAGAGGGCTCTGTATAAAAGTAAAATTTAAAAATAAAAGACTAAACCTAATGTAAAGCAAACTCCTTTATTCAATGAATACACCTCTAGCTGGTTGTTTTCATAACTCTCACAGCTTCTACAGATCAGAAGTAAATTTTTCTTTGGATCAACTGTCTTTTAGGATTTTTGAAATAAAAAAAACGAAAAAATTTATTTAAAACCGTTTAAGTTATTTAAAAGAAAAAGACGACTACCTTGAAAAACTATTGACATATTGGTATTTTTTGATGATGGTGAAGGAATCTTCAAAGGCACTGCATTAGACAACTTCCAAAAGGACTATTGTCAATTAATGTCATTTTTCTAAGCGTGTTGAAAATTCTCGAAATTTTTTTATACCAGTCAAAAAGAAAAATAGTTGATAAACAGGTAGGACCGACCTGGCTCGCATTACCAGATCACACGGCGGTATTACTTGTCGACAACTGGTGCACATTCCACGATAACCGTAAAGACGACGATAGTCCGTCTCACACATCATCAGATCCTGCTTGATGTACAGCTTTGAACCCATCTCACCCAAACGGCAATGGCAGAATGCGCACTAGATGAAAGCGATGAATTATCGATGTATCTACTTATTTAACAGTTTTAGCTGATTTCATTCATGCGAGTATTTTCAAGACCACTAATGGTTGATTGTGTTACATGCCATCTAAATTCAAAGGGTAAATTCAAAGGATAAAAAATAACAATTTCAGCGTGGGTCAATCTCTTAGCGATATACCACGCACTCGACCCACAGTTATAGCATCCTAAATATGGTTAAATGAAAAATTGGCCTACGGAGTGATTGCATACGTTAGCGATGTATCCCTTCAGTGTTTACTGCCTTTCAGACATGTCTGATTTCAATTTTATAAACCTGGTGTGATAAAGTGATCAGTTAGTAGTGAATCAAAAACCACTTGTGCATCGCAATGCACCTCTAACCATTGCGTTACGCGCGTCCATGATGCTTCAAGACCAAGGGATTGAACACAGACTAAAAGTGTTCAAGTACGTGTTCTGTAGAAAAGCCTGATTCCTATCACTTTTGAAAACTACCTTTATCACCTTTGAAATACACGTAATCATACTTAATCATAAGTTCAGTGGAGTATTTGGTATGATTAGATTGTATCTTTTTGGATACGGACCTTACTAGAAGTCCTCATTGAAATAACTGGTCAGTGAATGAAAGACGACTCGAAGAAATCTTAACACAAATTGACGTAACATTAACTTTACACAGCATGATGTACATGCTAATTTGCTAAATTTCTTCCCAAAAGAATAAAACAAAGAAAACTTTGTTGGTGTCAAACCGAGACATTCACGCTTTCTCTAGCATCAGAAGCTACCGTTGAAGGCTTCCATTAAGGGTCGCCTGTGATACGGGAAAAAAGCAGTTCAACGAAATCTATAATCGTCTAGATGTTAGCAAAGGTAGTGCTCTCGTTAACACTAGCTTGATCATAGAACATAGCTCCATTAAGCAACTGTTCACATAAACCGCATATTTATTTTAAAAAAGTATGAGCTAGTGAAGAGTTTGAAGGTCTTCGCCTTAACGTCAGGGACCAGAAGAAGATTAAACCAATGCACTTTTATGAACTTGGAATAATTTAACATCAATGATCGCACACTCAACAAGGTCACCGTAGGAGATCTCAACCCCAAGACTCTCCTAAAGGAAACTCTAAACAGCACTTTACATTGGAACGCATACGTTGTAATAGAATAAAATGAACAAATTACCCGAACTTATCAGTGACAAGCCAGAACACTCGCGACAACTCGTAGTTTTTATACTTTTCCGTTGAAATTTTACCCAAAAGAAATCGAATGCGCTAATGAATGCACTATTGAGACTGAGACCATGCTGATAGGACTAGTGCGCACCACGCAAATGAGAGAAAATTCGATATACCCGTCCATGACGATTACCAAAGGTCAGTAACGTTACCGTATACGTCAAAATATTGAAAACCGGTTAGTGACCAGTAGCGAGTGAATTCTACAATGTGTCAAGCGAAAAACAAGAAAGCCAGTGATCCGTTGTAAAAACTATTAACGAACAATGTGATATACCTATCGTCTTTCTTTCTCTCACCTACAACCAACTAGACAACTCCGACACGTAAAAAGAACTTTAGTGTACCTTACCAGCACCTGCTTAATCACGATATTCAACAGTAGGACTTTTTCGTGAATAATGTTAACACAGTATAATTGGCGTCCCTCTAAAACATTGAAGCTTAACCTTTTTTGTACCATATTGAGGCTCACAACGTTACCCAACAACTGAAAGGTACATATTCAACAGCAACATTTTCAAAAAACAATGAGACGTTTGCACAAGCCTAACTACTTCCAAAAGGCTGTCGCCAGTAAGGTATTTTCCCAAGCTCTCAATTTTAAACTATTTCATGCATGTTTATTTTAGTTGTTATTCATTACTGTATCTCAGACAAAAGTTATTTCTTAATAGAATTATTACGAAATTATAGGTGCAAAATGATTGCTGTTGGCTACTTGATCTTTTCCAAAAGAAGTAAAACGATCAATGGTCTTTTGTTCTCTGCCCCTATCCAAGAGTTTTCCGCTTCTTTGCAGCTTGGTGTCGACCTGCGATCTACAGCGAAGGATTCATTTTCTCCGCAAGATCATTCAGGTTGAGGTGTTCGACATTTTCAATCTCGACAATGTAGAACCATATCACGAAGAAGTCTAGAGAAATTCAAGTGGTCACCACCTTACCAAGAAAAATGATGGAGTAGACGTTCTATCAGAAAAAGTTCGCAGAACCCACTAAGAAGTGTATGCAAGCGACGAAGATACATGCCTACTATACAGACACACTCAGTTGACATGTTTATTGACTGACTGTCTCATTGGTGATAGAAGTGACAAAAAACTTAAAAGCATTCGGCGTTGGTCCACTTCTGGAGATGAACCACACATTGGATTCCATTTCTAGCACCGATAGAGGTAACTGAATGCATTTTTCCCCCATAGAATGACTTGAGGTGGCCTACCGATGTGTCAAGTGAATGTTGTATGCTGCCAATGAAGAGTTGCACGAATCTTTGAACTCCAGAGAGTTAAAAAGTTTGGATTACTTGGAAGCGGGATCAAACGAACAACTATGTTTGAATTGCAGCGTACCTTTAACTATAGTGGTACGGGAGTCCCAAAAAAAATTCCCAATACACTCAATAATTTAGAGCTGACATGCCTGAACAGGGGCAGATGTAGTGCAGCGGTTAGAGGTGTCCGGCAATATACACATTGTCTTTCGTTCCATCGCACGCGCAAAGCTCACCAAGTTTTCCATGCCTGTGCGCTTGAAAAATCTCTACCATACGTTCCCTGGAAGCCTGAAACCACTTGCCAAATGAGTAGGCCACCTCAAATCACTGTGGTGGCCGGATATTCATTCAATCCCTTCTAACGATGCTTGATGAAGTCGGATCCATGGCGCATCCCACATGCGTTGGTCAGCACCAAATGCTTTATCATCTATCCCATTATTTCTCTTGTTAATATTATTATTGCCCCTTCATCCTTTATCCTTTATTACTGTTAACAACACCCTCCTAATAACAATGTTAATAATTTCTGCTTGTCCTCTTACATTTCGGCAAATGATACTGAATTTTTATCCATATAATCAGTTTAGTTTCGCCATTATTAATAGTTCAACTTTGAATTTACACATGAAACAAACAAATGGTGCACTTTGATGCAGCGAACAGAACGAGTGAAAAAGAAACTAAATATATCTGTTTTTCGAAAAATTATGATCCTTCTGTTAAATTTCCTTTCCTATTCTACTCTTTTATTGCCATTATTTATTACACACTTAATGGATGACAACGAAGCAGAAATTTGTATCCTTTTTTTCCTTCCCTTCACTATCGCAATGAGAGTAACAAGCAAGAAAGGAAAATGTCTTAAGAAAAACGAATAAAATCGTTTTATTTGCACTTTGGTCTGAGTGGAGAACAGAGAAGAAGAGTTTACAAAAAAACTAATATGGTTTTTTTGCAAACTCTTCCTCTCTGTTCTCCATTCAGAACATGAGTCGAGTGCATTACAGTTAATAGTGGCCTTATCGATTCCTGGTCATCCATCAATTAAACGTCCTTATCACATCTTAAGGACGAGACATTACTGCAGCAAACGAATAAGTTTCAAAAAAAACATTTAATGTAAAACATGTTTTTAAGTGGTGAAATAAAGTGCATAGAAACATAATGAACACATTTTACATGACCCGTACGGAATCTCGGTGATGTCCTCTTCGTTTCACCTCTGCGGATCAAACTCATTTCAGTCATTTCCGATCGTCTTATTTGCACTTTGGTCTGAGTGGAGAAAAAATTAAACCTAAGAAAAAAGGATCTAGTGAACCTGTTTTTTCTAAAGGACTAGAAACCTTTTTAAGAGTGATTAGTCATTGTCGTAGACTCCATTCCAGGAAAAACTATAATTTACCTCAGCAATTTTATTTATTCTATCCCTTTTTATGCGAACAACATGGGCCCTGCACAAAACATTAAATACGGTTTTCATTAGATAGTAATTTAGTAATGATGCATGATATGATAGGATTTGAAATACACAGTAGTATTTCGAGGAGAATTTTAAAAATGGACGTGGAAGTCTCTAGCATGTAGTTTTTGCAGCTTTTACTGGTTTTAATACCTTAATTAGTCAGTGATGTGGTTTTTTCTCACTTCATAACTTTTAGGAATCTCTTTAAAATTTTTACAGAATATCTAAAAATGTAAAAAGGTATATAACTAGGGCTAAAATCTTGTATCTAGATAGCGCGAAAGGACTATTCTATTTCTTCTAAGCCCGTTTTCTAATCAATTCGAATTTTTTTCCCATCTTCTTATCTTCACTACAACCTATGTTTCTAGTACTCAGAACTTCTCCGGCATCAAAAATTGCAGCTTTAATAAAGAGCAAACCCTCATGCTCTTTCCACTACGAATTTTCAGGATTTGCAGAGAAACTATGATTTTGCAAGCCATTTAATATTGTTCCATTAATGAAATAAAAAACAATCGTGGTTTAACATAACACTTTCCTTCCTCCCAAGTCCTACCAACTTCATTAAACAATTAAGTAAATCGACGAATACCATTTTAATAAACATCTATAATCAATGCATTGATACCATAAAGTAATGAAAGTATATCGAGAATTGTCGCCTCTGAAAAAATTTTTATGCAGATTGCTCTTATAATCCCTCTATTGCTGTAATACGCTACTGTAATACAGTAAGAAGAAGGACGTTACGCATGCTTTACATGTGAAGTTACAGAATACTTGGAGAATATTGATAAAAGATAGACACAAACCTCTAGCAAATAGAGCACTAGAATCTTGATAAAGAAACTACGATGATATGTGACATAGAACAATGTGACCACAAACGAGCGAATACCGTTGTTGAATCGAACTAACTCCGCCAACAAGTTCAGAACTCAGTAAAGGTTTGTTCGCTTTCTGATATCAGGTTCAGAAAGTGAACCTGATGTGAATCCTAATAAATGGGCAAGGCAGTAGGTGAAGCCAACAATGACCTGCACAATAGTACCACTAGTTGCCATATAAGCCAAATTTAACACCTTCCACATCTTTAAATAGAACGCAAACATGAAAGTGCATCTTTATGAGGTCAATCAACTCCTCTTCAATCTTTCATTGTTACTAGGAAATAAACGAGTAGTGATATTGATTGTGGCAAGTCCCCACTGTAGCCCACAGTCAATTTTAACACAGGGTTATCAGAGATGGCGAATTTTGACAAGAGGGCTTTAGAATGTTCACCTTAAGACAATCTTCGTGCCAAAGCCGTCCATCAGCTTGAAGCATATAACGATCGAGAATAGGATGCGTACAGGCAGCACACTTGATCATCTCCTACGACGAATCAGAGGCGGACGCCGTTTCGTTCGGATTTTCTCTGGAATATTTTCGATGCTAACAAGAATAAAACCAGATGAATGTTGTTAACAATATCGCAATAATAGATGCGAACGAGACAATAGCGAGGCGTGGTTAAATACTGTTTCATAACTGAAGTAGAGTTGAAAAACCTGTTGTGAAAAGATCCTTTACAGTTGTGCGAGCCGATTACAACATATGGGTTACTAGAAGTTATAGTTAATGCCTATCTAAGCCTATCTAAACGAGCAAATTTGGGACGAGAAGTACTCTGGTTATGTCCCTACCCACGTATTCAATCACAATGTTTTCAAGCCAGAGGTAACCTACACAGTTTATGTAGTAGCCTTTTCAGTTTAATTTTATAAATTGCTGAATAATATGGCCCAAAATACGACTTTGCTGAGAGAAAAGCATTTCTTTTGTACAAAGGAATAGGATTCATGCGAAAATCGAATTCGTCAGCTTAAGTTATTCTGGCAGATGGTGTCAGACGGTAAGCGTTTCATGGCATGGACGATACGGTAGTGTACAAATGGATTCGCAGAGAATTTTTGGGAGAACAAGAGCGAAATCTAAGTACGATGAGGACGAACATCGAGGACCGACGCGTGCAATATTGCCACTAGAGTTTCTTGACGCACGTGATTCTGCAGATTAATGATGTTACAGCGGAAATATGCGCGAGAAACGCTGTCGTCACAAGATTGACTATATAGAATCTGTTCATAATCACTATTCCTTACACAGACACAACTGATGAACTGATGAACCCGATAACAGATCTTCAGTCCATAGTAATCTGCTCTTCTATCAATAATCACGGACATGTGGACTTCAAAGAAAGTTTCATCAAAAGAAAAAAGCTTTGACGTGACATGCTTTCCTTAGCTTCGAAACAAGCAACTTTATTCTACGAGACAAAACACTATGATCAGGTTGATTTCTATTACGCAAAGAGCTAAACTATCAAATTTGGCTTCATGATTGTAACGTGTATTATTACTACTAGAGTTAAAACGGTTAGAACGAGCAAATGTATATGAAAGAACATCTGAGAGAGACACATACAATAATTTACAACTCGAATTAAAAAAACCTCTTATGGAAGTATCTCGAATGTGACCCATTCCGTAGTTCAACACAAGGTCGATACAATGAGAAGCGGGTGGAAAACTGTCGCACTAACAACGAGGCGTTGCTAAGAAAAAAACGCCTGTTTCGCAGCGTAAAATACTGATTTTCGATTTCTCGAAAAGGCCGTAATTCAGTCGAGACATTGAATTAGTAGTTATTCTCTCACTTTTTCAGAAACGTGCCAAGCACTATGGAAAATGGAAGACGGTGACGAATTACGACGAAGACGACGACAAAGATGACGACGTGGGCACCGACGATGACGACATCAATGTCAACAACGACGACAACGACGATTACGAGGGTGATGATGATGATGATGATGTCGTTTATGAGCGATGAAAAGCGAAAAACAGCATGAAATCGTATGTGTGTTGACACTTTTACAGGCAGAATTGGCTGTAGACCAGCGCGTTAGCGAAAGCGAGCAAACCGTTGCGCCGCCTAAAACACACAAAATAATTTAAATAATTGAATCCAAATTCAATATACTCATTAATATAAAAAAGTCACGCATCGACGAATCGGCTCTTATATGCTGCCACATATACACCTCGTTCCAATGCATAGAATGGCCGTAATATAGCGGTTTAACTCAAATGTAGAGAAAGAGCAACAATGATGCTTCCAGTGATCTTCAGTTCCCTGTTTGACTTCTGAACTTTCACTAAAAATCTGTAAAATGTAGAGAAATTGGCAGAGATCAGCGAACGTTGCATAAATTGTGTCGTTCTGTTGAACTTAACATGGTTGCGCCATACATAGACGAGTTTCTCCTTCAGAACTCTCCTTTGGAGCCAAACATCGTTCTGTTGTGGGTTCGCAATGTTTTTTCTACAACTTTTGTTGAAAGAAGAAAACATGAATTTATTAGATCTTACCACATGGGGCCGTTTACAGAGCAGAAAGTGGGAAATAACAATTATTTCTTATTGCTTAAGCACTCCATGTTATGGAATAGCCCATTTGTAAAAGTGGGTTGACTGGCCAATTGGCTTTTATTGCACATCTGAATGGATTGTTTTCTAACTTTTCTGCTGCGCTGCTACGCCTGTCCATGGTAATGGTCTAGGAACGCCCGAGGACTACTATGTCGGGGTTCCAAAGAAAATTGCACCGGAGCAGTGTTCAAGATGTTAGTGATGATATAAAACGACAAACCAACAAGCCGTTGTCGAACCCATTAGCTAATTCGACGAACTCTTCATTTAACAGTTGCAAATAGGAGAACGAAGCTAATGCAATGTGTGCTTTGATGATTTGCACAGTATATGCAGTTGGTTCATTTAAGTGTATAAGTAGGTGTCCATCCCGAACACTAAGACTGCTATCCATTCTACCTTCGGCTTTGCAAAATTTCTTCCTGAAAAAGAATTTGATATTCCATAGACTATGAAAACTCGGCGCAACTACATCAAACATCGTGTGAATTGTACATTAGCTACTGTTTTCTGGCGTATAGCAACGATAATGAACAATCATACAGTGATATTCATTACAACCATTTTCAATAAAAACGAACTGCTTTATAGCATGGAGCTGAGCTCTGTTCTCAAAAAAAAAAATTACAAACGATCAGTATTTCGCTTGAATTCAGGGGGCGACAGCGGTGTGTTTGTATAAAACGTTTCGGCAGGTAGAATAAATCCACAAGCAACGTACCAGCGCTGCTGAGTCGTATTCTTATAGGAGTCAACGCTTATATTAGAAGCATTTCGAATGCAACAAAAATATCGACGTAGCCAAAATCCTTTATAAGCTACGAACATTGTACTATGTACCATCAGCAATTAGGGTGCACATGAGAACGGCTTCTTGTCATTCTTTCCTATTCTAAAGAAGTCCACAATAATAGTGATCTAGAAAGGCCGCATAGAAAAAGAAAGTCCGTGAGAATGGAAGAGAATAGAGTGGTCAAACGTATGCCATACTTGGGTAAAAAGGAAAAAATATAGGTAAGGGTCCATGGATTAGGAACACAGGAAGCGAACAACGAGGTTTAGTGAAATTTTCCGAGTTTCAATGCTCTCGGATGAACGAAACAATCGAGTCTTAGCACGATCTTTTCTGCTATACGAATGTTGCTCCATATGTGTGACTCGGAATCTATAAAAGAATCGAAATGAGCAGAAGATGTTATGGTAGTCATCGTATCGCTTAGTTGACAAGAATCGGATACAAGTTGATAACTTTACAAAGCCAAGAGAAATAACATTAGTATAGTCGATAATGAGGATCCCACGTTTTCAAAAACTTGTGCCTATCCAGAAAGGACCAACTAACAAACTACTCATTGCTTCTACAACTCATAGTTGACAATAACGCTGTTAACGAACCAAGGAAACTATCGAACAATGAAGCAAAAAATGAGAGATCTAGACTATGCTGGAATAGTGTGCCCTATTCTGTTAAAAACTCGGTGGTCGCAAAAATCAACGAGATATACGAGGTTGGCTCCGGATAAATAGAAACAAAGAAAGAACTAGAAGACTGTGTGGAAAAATATAGTAGGAAGATGAACTAAAAGTGCTTTCAGCCAAGAGATAAGATGGCTTAATGTGGTTTCTTCTTGTTCACTTTATTTCAGAAGTTTGACCTCTATAATGAGCTTCCAATAAACAACAGGTTATATAGAACGGAACTGGTAACGTGATACAGTACGAAGGAATTCAGTTCTACAGTAATGCAATGCAGGCTTTAATTACCTTATACATTAAACACACCTTATACATCAAAACAAAATCTTCGCTCATGCTTTATTAGATGCGTGTGACGAGACGATCCGGATAAACATTGCATTTCTCAGTTCAGCAAAATTAAAACAAGCTCTTTCAGATGACACAATAGCAGAACGCCGCTTGAAGACATCGCTCATGAATAGCGGAGCTGACAGTACATCGAACGATTAGGACCTTCTTGAGCGAAGCAAGTGAATCTTCAATCGAGGTACTCTCACACACGTATCGTACCTCATTCCCACCTCAAAACAATCTTCGGCTTTGTTTTTAATTTTCGCTAGAAGCATTATGGATAACGACTGTGAAGTGGTATTTAGTGCAGTTGAAAGAGACGATATTTATGCGTACACCGTCTGCGGTCCGATCCACCATACCCAACCAAACAAGGCTTCATGAAATTCGCTTGTTTATTTGCGAATTGATGACAAATCTATCCGAGGATGATAAAATACTCGTTTTGTCCATCGTTTGCTATGGTGGCTCTCATTTTAAGCTAGAAACAAAATTCCAATTCTCTGTTTTGACAAATTTACACATAAAACCTCTGAATGTGAACCCGCCTTCCTACGAAACTGCTGATCAACGTTTTGAAGCCGATCACTACCGATTACATGTTTGAAATTGAAAGAAAAAGTTCAGCTAACTGTTAAAAACACGATAACAACGAGGTGCCTACCTTACCTTGTGAATCAGCAACTGTGAATTCCGCGAACTCCCTAACAGTAGAGAAAATACATAGGTTTTCTGAGTTCTGCTCTTACATTTCAAAATTTAACAGATCTTTCTCTCGAGCTTTCATTTTTCTGCAGTTTGTGGATTCCTAGCGTAAAATTTACTGACACCATAGCTTGGGCTTTTGTTTTAGAACTGCATGTAAAGTTATTAATCAAAACGTCCCATTGATTATCAACTCAGCAATAAAATAATTGTCACCGAAGATCTACGAAACACCTAGATAAGACAAGCCAAACTAAAAATTGAACCGTTTAAACCAGATTGCGCTGTTCCAAACGGATGAGTCCTAGATAAGGTATATTGCCCTCGGAAACTCTTAAAATGTTGGGAATTGATGACAGTTGATGTAGACAAAATGATCTGTAGCGATGGTAAAGTGCAATGAGCTGAGGTGTTGGTGGTGAACATCAGTCGAAGTGAAATGCGATTTGTCCCGCAACCGACTTGCGTGCCAGTCGTCATTAATAACCGCCAACACACACACACACACACACACACACACACACACACACACACACACACACACACACACACGCACACACACACGCACGCACACCTAAAGACAAAACGTGCAACCATACACGCATGCATACATATAGACGGAAGCAAACACACGCGTCGAACAGTAATGCAGGCGACAAAAACCACGGTATTCGGATTTTCTCAAAACTATTCGATAGTCGTCCGTGACAGCACATGGATTCAGAATTCATCGAACAACGGATGCAATAAGCCGTATTTTCTATTAGTGAGCATACGAATTTAAACTTATACGATTTTCCTAATCGTTTCGAAAGAAATGTGGAATCCAGAGACCGGGATATCCGTCTGTTTGGAAAAATCACGTAAATACTTGACATTCGAATCTCAACACTAGAAAAAAACAGCACAATAATATAATACTTACAGTCACTTGTTTGCTTAGTGATTTCCAATATTTAATTAATTGTGTGGACTCAGCAGAACGCTTGGGATCTATACACATGCCATCCGGACCGTAACTCCTAGAGAGCGAACGTCCAGAATGCGAGACCTTTCGGTGTTTCTTCATAACTTTAGCTAACTGTTGTCATTTCGTTGCATCACAGGGAAATGTCGAAAAGAAACGAAAAAGTATATTGGGAAAGCTGTTAGAAAGCAAATTCATCTTACCGAATGATATTAGTGAATGAGATATTAGAGGAAAAACCAGAAGAAAAAGTGCGTCCCACTGAGGAGGGATATACATTACTTCAATAGCTAAGCTAATCGGAGTGCTTTCGAATAAATGAGGTTCCTTGCAGCCTCCAATCAAAAAAGAGTAATCGAAAACATTTCTGGCTTCGAAATTCAATTGCTTCATAAGCTTTTAAACGTAATCTCCTAGGCAGGATAATCATATGAATTTCCTTGAGAACATTTACAGGCGTCCACATCAACACAGCTAGTCAATTATGTTTTAACAAACTGATTGCCATACCGGCTTTTCGATAATTGCTGATATTTTTTCGGTAGGTACTTGAAAGGGTCAGAAGCTAACACAACTGAAGAGATTTAGCAAAACCTCATTGATCAAAATATCAGGTTAGATTAAAACCAAGGAAAAAGGCAGAACTTAAGAGATTAAGAAAATAAGTATTCTATCTTAGTATATTAGTAAAAGTAGTACCATCTTGGCAAAAAATCTTCTGTTTAAAACAATTGTAATTTCTTCGTTAAATTTTAGTACTAGATTAAACTCTACTCTTGTGTGAGCCATGTGTGAATGGTGGTTTGTTGAATCTGCGTGCAATCAAGATAGATATTCGTATAATCGTTACCTGCTTACCTCCTTAAATGTTGTATGTTCGAACATCATGCGATTATATAACTCCTTCTGTTCGATTTCTT